ATGCCTCCTCTCGCGCCAACAACCGCTCTGTACCCATCTCCAACACCTTAACAGCCTTCACTACCGCCCTACCTATCATTTCGGGTCTGCTACTCGAAGCAGGCTATGATTTGACTCGGGTAAAAGAGCGCCGCCAGCACATGAGCCGCGGCGAGATCCAGCGCCCACCTCTCGTCATCGTCGCAAACACCATCATCTTCATATACTCGACCGTCGTCATTACCCTCCTCGGCACACACGCCGCTCCTCCTTCGGGTCTCAATTGCAGCCTACACGAGCGCTGGCAGAAGCTGTTCCATAACAAGGACAGGGATGCGATTAAGACAATCCAAGATGCCTTCAATTGCTGTGGTTTCGCAAATTCACATGATATGGCCTGGCCGTTTCCAGACAAGACGCATAGCATACACGCCTGCGAGACTACCTTCAACAGGAATCGCGGTTGTTCCGATGCATGGAAGGCCGAAGAGCAGCAAACTGCGGGTTTATTGATTGTTGTAGTCGGTCTGGTCTTTATTTGGCAGGCACGTGCACCTACATATGTATCCTCTCTCAAACATCACAAGCTAACATTGCACAGTTTGCAATTATTGCCATCCCCACCCATAAGGAATCTTGGCTCCACAAACTCGCACCAGACCGCATCTCACGTATGATTGCCGACGAGCGGCACGGCGACACAGCGCCGCGAAGTGCCATCGACTACGTTCCCGGCTACAATCGTTACTCTGATCGCATCGAAGAGGACGAAGAAGAACATGTCGAGAACACCCGCACCGGACGCATCGAAGAGGGCAACCGCGAGCTCAACAATGCTTTGCCAGGAAATGTTCTGGGTGGCCAGGAGACTGGTGTTGAGAATGAGTGGGCCAGGAACTGAGCATTAAACCTGCTCTCGGATAGAATCAAACAGGCAGGTGCTTTTGCACCTCTTGGTAGATCATGTAGAGCCGCTTGTATATTGTGAGGAAACACATATAGGTACTTTCCTCTGCAACAAAATTGATGACTGATGCATTGAGATTTTGCACATTTGAAACCCGAGACTAGATTTAGCACCCGTGGACAATGTATTTCCTCGAGTCTATCTTCGTCCCTGTTCCCTTACTGCACATGACTCCACACACCCTCTATTCTACACTACCCCTCATGATCCAACAATTCCGAGTTCCTCGGAACGGCTATCTTGAACGCTACGCCCAGCGCCTCTTCAAGATAGACGAAATTAGCCGCCGTGAAAGGTGCCAGGAAGGTCTCGTTGTGCATTTGAGCCAGTGCCTGATCGTGGTAGATTTTGACACGAGGTCGTGAAAATAGGTCGTGCACATTGGCTTCGAAAAGCTCTTTGACTATGAGATCGTTTCGGAGCAGCACAAAGTGTTGGCGCCAGTGAGTAAAGTCGGGAGGGATGAGGACACGTTGCAGTTGGGTAAAGGACTCTGCGATCAGACTTGTCAACAACCATGTCCGGGTGCTAAGTACGAGCGCTAATCCGCCAACTCGTCGCGCTCGAAACGCTATGGAAGTAAGCAGCCTGTTGTTCACAATGGCGTCGGACAGACGTATAACCCGAAGACGTCGAGTAGTGCCCTGAATGGGGGCTAATACTCCTAAGCGTCACGATAGAGGACAGATGGCTTTCTGTTGGATCACGGATACAGTTTCGGGCTTTCTGTGGTACCAGTCTCTCCTGACTTCGCCTCTCCTCGGCGGGTAGATAGCATGAACATGATGTCTTGGTATTCCCCCGTCTTTTTTCTATTATGGGGGTTCAGTATGCGCATCGATGGGTATAAAGTGGACATTCCTAATTACTGTTTGGTTTCCTCTCAATGTATTATTATCTAGCTAGAAACAATATATGCTATCTTTGCATTTTCAAGGCTGCTATGATGTGGAAAGAGAAAGTGAAGTGTACACAAGGTTTGGTAAGGGCCTTATAAGCGGGCCGCGTAACGGCCTTATGCCGGTCCGTACCAACTAGGAGACTTTGAGCAAACGGGACCGAGAAGGAAGCTGTAACGAGCGAATGTAAAGGGCCTATATCTGCATTAGGAAGCTATTCCCTTGAAGATTGTATGGCTTGCATCGATTGTTCTAGGCTTCCAAACTCTCAGGGTCCAATTGACCATGCCGTTTGGCTTGACAGGAATATTGCGATTGAGTTTGTAACTTGGACTGTGCGGCAGCTTGCTCAGTCATCCCGTATCCTCCTAAGCCTAGTCTGATATGATCGATTGCACTCATGGACGGCTGACACTAGGATTTTAGTTGTGAGCATGTAGACTGGTTGGAATTTCTATTGCTCAAGACGTATGGCCTGGGATGGCGACGCAACACTATTTTTACCTCATACCTATACTGCATTGCTACGTAGCTACGATGGACAATTCAGTATCAACTGCAGCCTCTATCTGGCTCATTCGACGGCCGGCCCAACCGGCATAAGGTGTGGTGGAGGCTGTTGCGAAACGGCGCAGGTATTCTCCAAAGGATATGATGATCATGTTGGCATCTAGAAGCACCGAGAACTGGTGTAATGAAGCTTCGAGACATCAAAACCCTAGCTTACAAATCCAGAACCACTGGATAAAGTTATAGCGTGTCGTCTGTCGCTTTTTAGCTCGTTCAATCCGTGACCCCTGTCAAGTATGTGCGGTGACGGTCCGGACCTCCAGCCATATGGACCCTGATTCATAGATTTTGACAGGGTTCTCCTTAGAATTATCCAACCCGCTTCGGCACACTTTGATATACTTCTAAACTGCCGTCGCACCGAGGTCAACAGCACAAGTAGCCACGTTGCAGTTAACACATACACGCAGCAGGAAAATTGCACTAACATCACGTGGTCGTTTCTGGTAACTTTTTCTGCTAAAGTGTGCATGTGGGCGGACTGATACTCTCATTTCACGACACCAATGGTGGAAGAAGAGAAGTCGAATGCGAAAAGGTTTTAGAGTGAGGAGTTTTGATTGATCATTTGCAACGCCTCGAGCGTATCTATCGTGTGGCTGTTATTGAATACCCGATATCGAACAACTTTGTTTCCTCGAGCGTATCTATCGTGTGGCTGTTATCGAATACCCGATATCGAACAATTTCGTTTACTCTCCTCACTCTGCTTTACACCTGCACTAAGCTGGAGTCTTGCAGTACTGAGGGTCCCAGCTGTCACAGCAGTTGCACGCATGCACTGCGAGACCGCTGCTCAGGATACAGGCAGAGCAAGCCTCAGCCTGGTTGCCGTATTTCCTAAGCTTGCTTTCCCCCTGAGGGAGAGCAGTCACAATGGCAACAAGCGCCATAGAGACTGCGATCATCGAGGTAAATCCTGCCAAATGCTGTGAGCTATTTCCTTCCGCGCTCTACTATCTCGGAGTGAAGAGAGACATACCTTTCATATTGACAGTTACGTAGTGATAGTTGATAGTCGAAGTGACTTAAGGAGTTGGGTGAGCAGAGTCTGTTTGTTTGTGGTTTGCGTCTGGAGAACAAAGTAGATGTGCTTGGATACTGAGACATTCCTATCAGTAGGAAAGAGAGCGCTTTTATAGACAATTTCATTTCCAGGTAAGCAGCTGGCACGTTGCCATGTGTAGCCCACATCGCTTGGCACTGAACTTAAAACTGTTCACGCTCTGATTCAGGTAACTCAAGCGTGCTGCACGCATGAAATCTGCTTGCATTCCTGCAGTTCTCATGTCAGCTGAAATAGAGTTCGAGCTAAGTCTGTTTGTTAATATACGAGGCTCACCTGAGCACGCCAATCATTGAAGCTGTATCGGCCTCGGGATGTTCTGTAACGCACCCATGGTAGTTCTTGATGTGATGCTACCACCGCGTGTGACATGAAAGATTACTAGTGCTGCCAGGAGACAGGGAATGTCTATGTACCTAATGTTGTGTCTAGATAGCATATGGGAGGCAACATGTGTCGAGAAATTGACACTGCGCTGTTTTAAAAGAGTGTCCCTACAGACTTGCTGTCTTCATAATGGAGAGGCTTGGCAAAACTCAGAGAAAGACTGAAGTATGAATGCTCACCCTCTACCCCTGCACGCGTGTGTAACATAGCAAATTATCTTGGGTAGGCTCGGCCACAAAATTGAGCTAGTAGCGAGGACACAGACATTCGGCGTGATAAGTAGGCCATTTTGTTGGCCTGATCCCCTGTGCGATTTCATTCGGCGCAAGTCCTTAGGTATTGTTACGAACCCATGCCTGCTCAGGTGGCCATTCAACCCAAACCTTGGAATAATTTTGTCCGTATCTACAGGGACGAATTGCAGCGCAGTCGAGAATAGGGCCTATAGAGGCGTCCCAACTGCTGACATACCTCCACCTATGCTACGTGGGCGTGCAAAGAAGACCTTGGAAATAAGGCTGACCGCGTTGACGCTAATGAAAGGCAGTAGCATGACTGCTTCTCGGCATGCGCCTCAAATGCTCAACACAGTATTACATGTGAGGCGTCCGGGCATATTGATTCTGTTCACACATGGTAGGCAACATATGTCACCACACGCCATTTGTTCAACAGACTTGGAAAGTATTCACACCATCTCCAGGATTCTCAGCAGCGGTGGGGTCGAGTTGAGATACTGAAGGCATCACATGTACGTTTCAAAGCCAAAGTTTGTCATCACTCAAAATCGATCCAGCCCATGATACATGCAATACCAACACGCCACCTGCATGCTAAAGTCAGACTCGGTCAAATCCAGCCATATTGGTTTTGAACTCTATACCATATCGTTGACATCGGTTCTACACCCGGGCATATTCAGTCTAGAATAATGACTCCTGTTTCGGAGCTAAAACACCGTGTCAACAGAATGCCCTCTGTATCGTCTGGTCAATCAATACCAACATGACGAAAGAGCTATCTCGCCTGCATGCTGCGGTTAGACTCGTTTAATGCTAGCCAGGTTCTACCTCAAACTGTATATTGTATCCTCAGCATCAGTTCTATACTCTGACATATTCAGTTCCACCTCGGAGCAAAGGCGCCGTGACGATTCCATGTCCTACTTACTGTTTAGCCTATCACCATCCACACTATGGGGACACTACGGGCGCATTCTGGAGCTGTGTTCAGTTGGAACTAGCCAGATTCAACATTAACCTTTACATACCATCATCGGCAACGTCTTCACACTCGGGTGTACTCAGTCCAGAGCAAATATACTTGCCTTGTAGCAAATATCCCGTGTTTTTTACTGCTTCCTGTCAGCACTAGTTAGATAACATCCACAGAAACATGCCGCGTGCATCGACTGCAGCCAAATCTGGCCAAACTCAGGCAAATGGGACTTGATCTCTCGGCTACCTTGACCTTCAATAAGCTTTCACTGTACGTATATTTGTCAGCGTGTGTGCAGGTCTGTATGAGTCTAACTGAACTTACGGACAATAGTCGTCCTCGCTGACCAACTATCCCAAGCATGTGGGACAGCGCTTTCCTCCTGAACCAAGAGATAACTAACCACCCGCCGTCTGCTATAGCTTCTTCCCACCACTCTCATCACCAAAAACTCGACCACAACTACAACCAACAACAACTTCGGACTTGGCCATCTTCGACCAATTCTTTCCACCATACTCAATATGCAATATAAGCCCTGCGCTACAGACCAAACAGTACTATACTCTAACACGGTGTCTTACAGTCACTACTATCCTCGTTGCTCTCCTCTCTGCAGTTTGAGTCGTCAACGCCCTCACAGGCACCAACGCTAGCACTCCTGATGTCAAATCGCCAGATTACCGGGCGAAAATCAGCAAGTGTTAGAGTCAACGATAGATGACTAAGGGTCAATTTGGGCATTGTGAATGCGACAATGTCAAGGCTATGGATTCTTCCGGGAAAGTTTCAGTGTTTTTGTGTACTAGATTTGAGTATTCAACATACTCAATCCTAGGCTGTCTCTACAAATCAAATCCTTATCTGCCCACAATAATATCTTCAAACTCTCTTCCGTCTCTGTATCAATCTCTATGAACGCCACCTGCATGCGAAACTCATATTCTGCCTGCTCAGGATGATGCATCAACCGCGAGTGAAACCGTCCAGTGTCTGAGTGCATTGGGGCCCATTCCGGTGCTCACCTTCTGTCCGTTGATCGGGTGGCGCTACCAGAGCCAGAAACGTTACTGGTAGGTGTTCAAGTCTTCTGTGAGGAGCTCGTTGAGTGTGACCAGCCCGGAGAGCGCGAGTTGTGTCGAAGTTACTACCAGAGCTCATCACTATTGCTTTTATGACCTCTAGTAATCGCTGTAGTTCTCCTTGTGTTGCTCGCTATGCCTATTTCAACCCATCCATTTCGAGGCTTACATTATCAGCTCTTGAACCGTACACACCTCCATCCAAGATCCATTGTTCGTTGTCGTCGTTGTCGTCCTGCACTCTCCTCCAAGCCTGCTTCCTTCCGCTCTCCTTGTCTTTGCCTTTGCTCTCTTCAACCTTGATTGTCGGTCTAATCAGACCACCCAGCAGTGGGTTCCTCGCAAACGCCCCGCTGCCACTTGAGATGGCGCCGTGTTCGAAAGGAGTAGATGTTGGGTAAGCAGGTTCGTCATCGCTTTCGGGCGTCACGGGCCGCTCGGTCGCTGCCATCTTGCGCACAATCTTTCCGCCTGCGAGATCAATGCTGGCTACGACTTTGCGCTTCTCGTAATCTGGTCGGGCGTTCCATTCTTGTTCCCTTAGCGCCTTTTGCTGGCGCTTGAGCTGCATGGCGCGCTCTTGTGGCGATGCCCACATGCTGAGACCCGCAGTTGTGGTTTCAAAGTCTGCGGCTTCATCGTGGACTTGAGTACGCTTGGCGTTTTGTGCTTGGAAGGCGAGCAGCTTATCTCTATGCTGCTTCGCTTTGGCTAGCTTCTCGCTCTCTGAATCGACGTCTGATGCTGGATTCGAGGAGATGGGTGTTGTTGATCGTGGTGTGGAGAATGGTCGTGGTGCTAGCGAAACGTCTGGGCGCTTCTGGGTTGCATTGTTCGCTGCCATCTTCTCTTTGCCGCGCTCATCACGCAAGACACGGACCATGGATTGTATCTCGTCGGAGCTCAGAAGTGGCGAATTGCAGAAGGTGCATGGACCGATGCCTTCTTTGACGCAGACGATCTTTCCACAGTTCAGGCAGTTCGGAGCAGCGTCTAGTAGTGGATGCCGAGTCGCCATACAATTGCACTTCCTTTTCTTGCTATCCTGAGAGGATAGTGTGGGGTTCGTTTGTATCTCTAGTGCTCTGATGGCGGACTCGAGATCATTCAGTGCGGTACTAGCGCCATGCATCGGCGTACCACCAGCTAAGCTCACTTTCGCCTTGGGCTTCGGTGATGAATTACGGGATGATTTGACCTCGGAGATCAACTGCCCTGCGGCTGAGGGTGGCAACTTTGCTGCGGGTGGAGCAGGTGAGATGCCTCGAGATTTGGGTGTTGCGGCTCGTGATGACGTTGCTGTTTGTGGTTTCTGTACAGCAGCTGGCGTATCTGAAAGCCCAAAAGCATTAGCTTTTGTCGCCTTTGACTTGGAGCTCCCAGCCATGTAATCTTCCTCCTCTTTCTTGCGATATGCTCCCGATACGTTGCCGAAATCGTCAGGCTGTCGTGGAGGCGGGAGTTTTCCTAGACCAGCCTGCTTCTTCTTGCGGGGCTTCGCCTTTGGGACTTCAGATGTGGCGTTGGATGACGCATTTTGAGTAGAGCCGGCACCGGCTCTCGGTCTTCTTCTGTTGTTGAAAGATGTGATGAATTCTAGGGCTTGAGGGCTGTCTCCCAGCAAGTTCTGTAGATGATCTGCTGCTTCAGTGTTGGACAGAGAGTCGGTATACGAGATGATCTGCTTTAGGGAGTCTTCGTCTATAGGTAATAGCCTCGATATCTGAGGCAGCGCCCAGGTTGCGAGATCCATGATTCGGGACCGGGATCGTTGAGCTTGCGCAGTGCAGTGTGTGAGTTACTGAGTTACCACCACCTACTCTGAATCATCACTTTGGTCTAGTGCCGGCAATGTGGCGCAGGACTGTGGCTGGTGTGGAGGACCGTGCGCCGAATTTACCTGCGCATCGACAGTTACGAAGTACCATCACAGTCCTCAAGTCGACCCGCGCCCCCGCCCTTGGACTTGCTCACACATGATGACTACCGAAGTCGCTCTCGACACCACTATTGTAAGCTCTCTCCTGACAAACTCACGCCCCAGACTCACTCGACCAGGGTACAATTGTCATCGAACTCTACAACGACGATGCGCCAAAGACATGCAAGAACTTCTCGACCCTCGCCCAGCGGCACTACTTCGACGGCCTCATCTTCCACCGCATCATACCCAACTTCATGATCCAAGGTGGCGACCCCACCGGCACTGGCAGGGGCGGCGCGTCCATCTACGGCGAGAAGTTCGAGGATGAGATATCTCCCGCTCTGAAGCACACGGGCGCTGGCATTCTCAGCATGGCGAACTCGGGCCCCAACACAAACGGATCCCAGTTCTTTATAACGCTCGCCCCGACGCCATGGCTGGACGGCAAGCACACCATTTTTGGCCGGGTCAAGAGCGGAATGCAGGTGGTCAAGAAGCTGGGCTTGGTCAAGACAGACAAGGAGGACCGACCAGTAGAGGAGGTCAAGATCAACCGGGCCTATCTTCCCGAGAAGGCGAACCTGCTCGAGAACTGATCGCCCTTGCACGTCTATGCTGGAAGCTGGAACGGCGCAAAACAAGGGCACGATTTCATTGTGAGTTTCGCCTTGGTTGCTTCCTCTACTCTTCGCTCATAGATGCAGCTAGTTTAATGCCCCGTTCGGGTGAATAAGCACCTTCGTGTATCCTTCGATCCTCTTGTCAAACTTCTCGTATGCGACCGGCGCTTCGTCGATATTGATCTCGTGCGACACCACGAAGCTCGGCTTAGCCTTCCCAGACACAATCATGTCCCGCAGATATCTGTTGTACGCCTTGACGTTGCACTGGCCGGTTCCCAGCGAAAGGCCCTACTCAGGGGTTAGCAAAGAATCACTTCAGATGCTGCTGAAGTTCACCTTCTCAAAGAGCTTTCCAAAGGATATCAGGATTTGGCCCTTCCTGCTCTGTTCGTCTGGAGCTCCTGGGTCGGCTGGCACGTAGAGGCCTGGTATGCCTAGACCTCCGGTCGGCCGCGTTACCATAATAAGCTGGTCAAGGACGATGTTCGGCTTCTCCTTGCTTCCTGAAGCATCAACAGCCTGGTACCCCACAGCATCAACAGCTCGATCAACCATGCCGTTGTTGAGCTTGATAATCTGCTCTACTGGATCACTCTTCCTGAAATCGATGGGTATGCAGCCCATCTTCTCTGCCGCTTGTAATCGCTCCGGTACTGTATCCACCACAAACACCCTACTTGCACCCCGCAGTATGCCGCTGTACGCAGCCACTATTGAAGGTTAGCACCGAGCTGGGGGACAGGATCTTTGCACAGCGACTCACTTAGCCCGACGGGGCCTGCGCCGAACACCGCAACGCTTTCTCCAGACTTGAACCCTGCAAGTACAAGTCCATGCCAGCCTGTGGGGAAGATATCCGCGAGGAGTATGAAGTCAGCTTCGTGCTCGGTGCCTTTTGGTAGTTTGAGCGCATTGAAGTCCGCAAATGGCACCCGGAGATACTGGGCCTGGCCACCTTGGTAAGGCCCCATGGCTACATAGCCGTAAGCTCCGCCTGCAAAGCCTGGGTTGACACTGCGAGGACAGTCAGCATAGATTAGGACGTCAGGTCTGGAGCTGCCTACCCCGTACAAAATGCGGTACGACCCTCTTCACAGTTTCTGCAGTCAGTCAGTACATCACTCGCACATCGTAGATCGATTGCGTACTGGCATCTGCCGTCTGCTACATTGAACGGCAGAACTATACGGTCGCCCTTCTCCAACAGCGTTACGCCGGATCCCGTCTCGATCACAATGCCCATGTTCTCATGACCAAACACGAGCCCGCTCTCCGCCGCCGTTCGTCCTTGGTACATGTGCAGGTCGGATCCACAGATCGCGGCCGTTGTAACCTTGACAATCACATCGTCTGGGTGAACAATTTTGGGCAATTCCACCTCCTTCACCGAGACTTTGAAAGGTCCCTCGTAATGCACTGCTTTCATCGTTTCGCCAGACATGCTTGAAGTCGTCGTATGCGCCTGTTCGGTACCTGGATCGTGTTCAGGGTCCAGCAAAGGGATTGTTTGTAGAGACTTGTTAGCCATGACGTCTGCAGCTTATATTGATGAGACGGACGTCTGCGGGGACGTCGCAGGGTAGAAGTTCCATTCGTGGTACTTATATCCAATAGCTACCTCTAGCTATTTGGAAGCAGGCGTCATTGTTGTGAGGGGTTGGTGCGGATGTCGATCGCGCAGTGGGGTAGTGGTTCCGAGTCGGAAGCGCGTCCATACCGCGTCCCGGCATCTACTGCACGTTATCAACTGCGACGAAAAGCGACCAGTGTGCAGCGGATGGGAGCAATCTGATGGCCTGAAGCTATGCACTTGTTTACGTCGCGTAGAAATCTAGCAATACTGTATACAGCTTCGAGTATCAGATCCTCCGCAAGCCGCTATTCATCTTCTAGTTTGATCGGTGCGCTCAAGAATCGACTCTTCAGATGTAGTCCGAAAACATCAGATGGGAGATTTGATTGTACTGGTCCCCACACGAGAGCTTTGCATTACCCTAGACTTTACCGTTCCAAGGAACTCTCCGCCCACGATCTCCCTAGCTGTTCGAACTTAGCGCATGCTGCGGACGTCCGGAGGCATGGTAATTGACAAAACATGTTGCGACACGAAACATTTCATCCAAACCATTAATTTGCGTCTCTTTTAAAACTGTGCCCAACAAGATCAGACTCAAAAGCTTTCTAGATGGTGAAGCGGAAGTTTGGGTCTTCTAATAGCACCTTCTCTCCGCGGTCTGCTTTCGCATTCTCACTCCTGAAGTAAATTGTTAGAATACCGACCAGTATTATGACCAGAACATTGCATGCCATGCATGCTGCGAAGCCCGGTACATAGGACGGCGCATCTTCTGTCCTGAATATAAGCGCTCCAGCGATTCCTCCGATACCACCAATACCGGTCAACGAAGCCGAGCAGAATGCACGCCTCCACTGTCCTCGGATGTTGTTTGCTTGATATGCCATGACTGATGGTATCGCGCTGTTAGTCCCGGATACGGTGATGAAGACACCCACGTATTGGGCCCAGGGGTTTTTCGCAAAGCCCATGATGGGCAGACCAACGAGTGAGACTAGGCACAAGAAGCACAGGACTGGACCTCGCGTTTTATACTTGTCGCTGAACCATGCAGCCCCGTACATCAGGAAACCGGACGCTGCGTATGGTGGCGCACCAAGGCACTGGCTCATGGCCATGCTGAACTTGAGCTTCGTGGATAGGATGATGGGTAGGAAGAAAGCGAAGCCGTATGCTATCGTCGTTACGAAAAGAAGGATCAGGGCAAATGCATAAATGTACCAATCCTACAATAGAGGAAGAAGAACTCAGCTGTGGTCTCAAAAGTACGATTGGGAGTCTTACCTTTGCCGGCTCGAGGAACTTCTTCCACGAAAATTTCTCTGCACCTGCATCTCCACGGTCGGCATTAAGACTATCGATCAAAACATCGAGCTCGTGGGGTTTTAGGAAGCCCCATGATGGCTTTGTCTTTTCTTCATCCGGGAATTTGACGATGAAGGTTATGGAGAATAGCGCGACGGCGACGGTGATAACACCTTCCATGATGAAGATCCTGAAAATCATTAGAACGGCTGATGTGGCGAAGGTAAACGAGTGGTCTTTACCAGCGCCATCCTCGAATGCCCTGCACGCCTTCCATCTGCTGCAGTCCATACGCAAGAATGCCTGAAAGAGCGGATGCGATACTGCCAACGAAGTAGAATACGCTATATCGCTTTGCCACCTCGAACTTCGTATACCAGCATGAAAGTAAGTACAAACCTGCGGAGTACCAGTTAGCAATGGCTATATGAGATGGTGTTTCAGGGCCAACTAACATCCGGGGAAGTAGCCACTTTCCAACAATCCCAGTACCAACCTCAACGGAATCAAACTCGGCCAGTTGTTCGTAAATCCAAAGCCAACAATTACCGCGCCCCATGCGATGCATATTCCAGGCAAGAAGTATCGAGGCCCGATTTTGCGACATAAGATGATCATGAAAGGCTGGCAGAGCACATATGTGATGAAGAAGCAGAGGTTGACGAAGTTGTAGCCCATGCCGCGACTCATATTGAGGTCTTTCAGCATACCGGCTACAGCTGCGTTGGAGACGTTCTTCCGGTCCATGAGCGAGATGCCGTACATGGCTCCGAGAGCTGGGATAAGGCGCCAGTCCACGCGATGGCGCAGTTTTGCTGCGAGTTTGCGGTCGACGGCATCTGACGAGCTAGTCGACGAGGCGAGCCCTTTTTCGAAATGCTCGGTATGGTGGACGGCTTCGTCTTTGGTCGTGTTGGGCGCCATTTCGAGGGGAATTATCAAAGCGAGAAGAAGACCTCTGATCCTACTCTAGCAAACCATCTGAGTCCAAGCAGGCGTGCCATCATGAAATATTGAACCCGCAAAACTATCCACAGCACCGGATGTCAGTATCCACATTTCATCCCGCTTGCCTCTCTCATTAACCTCGTCGAGCCACTATACCAGCCTCCCAAGGCTCTATACAGCGCTTGACTAATCAAAACATCTCTTTTGACAGCGAAGACATGTGTAAGCCAAGCGCGCCGCTATCCTGGATTCCCACAGCGGCACAAATTCCACGAACGGGAGTGATCCATCTTTGGTAACGATTGCCACATCGCCTCACGTGGAGTCGGTGAGCCTGGGGTAGGTTTGCGGGGAAGATCTTGGGATTTCTTGGGGGAGGGCTTGGTGTTGGTAAGCGAAGACGACTGGATGGTTGAGCAGAGAGGCGCAGTAGATTTTGGCCGCGGAAGTTACATGTCCAAGAGTTGTGGTTGCTTGGCTTTGGCCGCGTATTGCCGGGTTAATAGGCTGCTTGTGAATTAGGCGAGAAGGTGATCAGTGGCTTTGCTATGAAACTTTTGTACATGCGAAGAAGCGAATTAATGTTGAAAATCTTCATTGTTCTTCTGCACTAAAACTGATGTACCTAGGCAGCCGGTCCAATGTGCAGCATAATCTACTTTCTGGACTATCTCCGTCAATTTTTCTCAATGAAACAAAGGCTCAAATTCAGCGCCTTCAGTCTCGCCGTGATTCTCTCTCCTTCTGCCGCCACGATATTCTCGGACTTGGCCCGCATTTTCTCTTCTGCCCTCTTCTTCTCGGCCTTCCCATCCTCCTTTTCAAACATCTTCTTCCACATTCCCACGTAGTTGATGTAACTCTGCCTAATCCAAGTATGCCACCACATTTCTTTCGCCTATTCGACGAGGATCTGATCCGAGACCCCAAGGTATTTTGCACCTGCCCAATTCATCTGAAAGTCCTTGTCGCGCGGCAAAGAGATCAGATAGGGCGCACCATGGATGGGGTCGAATAGTGTCCAGCGGGCCAGGCAGAGCAGCTTTGCTTCCGGTGACATGTTTGCCGGTGGTAGGTGCGGCATGCACAAGATAGGAGGGTCACGGGGAAGAGGATCTAGGAAGAGAGGGACGTTCCATGGAGAGGGTGGAAGTGATGTAGAAACTGGTAAGACGAAGTCGGATAGGTGAAGTTCTTTGTTGCGTACGTCCTCGATAGGAGTTAAAGAAGGTGTAAGTTCTCCAGCAGCCGTGGGCTTGAATTCTGACGTGCGTGGCTCCACTGGCTCTGGCTGTTTGATTTTGATCTGGGGCTTGTGGAACTCATCTTTCCAACCTATCTCGCCTACTGGAAGAGCTGCCATGATTATGGCTCGCAGTCTGTGCTCTTCTTGTTCTTTGACATGTGCAGCTCGCTTCGTGTAGTACCCAGACGGGATATGTGGAAACATTATGAAGACCTTCTCGCGCACACATGCCCGAGTTCGCTTGTACCACTCATGCAGCTCAAGACTGACCTGGCTCTCATTGTACTCACAAGAGACACTTCGAATAGGTTCATCTTGCCCAAAGCAGTAGCCAGGATAGTGTTTCGGCACCCACTCTTTGATGAAGTAAGTCCAGTGAGGCGAGCGATCTTCCAATCGGCAAAAGTACTGCTCTTCGCCAAGTCGAGCCGCAAAGTGTGCTGGGTTGAAAAGCCAGGACCCGGTGAAATATCCATAGACTGCATCATGATCAGCTATTAGCAGGCTTTCTAAAGTGGAAACACTCACTCTCTTCCTTCGTCTTGAAGCCGGCATCTACAATTCTCCTGTCAAGCCCCGTGATCCTCAACACATCTCTCGGATCTTTGCTCACCCAGACCATGCTCCCAAGAAAATTCGTAGCTTCTATCTCATCGACACGCACGTGTAGTCCTTTGGGATCAATCGTCAACCCGAGCGGCTTCACCATGCTACCAATCATCTTGCTGTTGCTCGCATAGTTCAGCTCAAAGGTCTCCCACTCAAACATGTCCGGCTTGAAGCAGACTTTGACATCAACCTGAACCCAATAGTAGTCTTCAGTATCGGGCACACGGATGGCAAAGTACATGCACCCCGGGTTCTTGAAACCCCGGCGGCCATGACTGGTGTTGAGGGTTGATTTGATGCGTGAGACGCAACCTTCCCAGTCGAAATTCTTGGCATTGTTGCTGTGTGGAAAGTGGAGCGCGCTGGAGACGAGGAAGTCGATATCTCCAAAGTCTTCCTTGGCGGGCATTTCTGTGGGCACGACGACGTGCGCGAATATGGTTCGCAGTGCTGCAGTAGTTTGTGATTTGACTTTGACATAGATGCTGGGAGGGATGCGAGGGCAGTGGAGATATTTGAAAGCGTGGCCCACCATTTTGACGAAGAAAAGTGATAGATCCCTTCAAGAACCAGGGGAGAGGAAAGTCATCTGCCAACGCGATCAGCTCGTGATGTATCAACAAGCGGTGAAGTAATCGAACCTTTGTTATGCGAGTGATGCTTTGCTTGAGACATGTCTCGCCATGTGAGCACAAACAGCTTGTGAACAATGAATGCAAGTAGGTAGATTTTATAGCTGATATTTCGCTGCGAAAGCGGTAGCTTCTATCACCTCAGCGAGAGGATTAGTCCAACTTGCCAATCTGTGAAGGATTGGGTGCGCTGAGTCTTGAAGAGAAAGCACCACCAAGATGATGCAAACGAGCCTACGAAAGCCGTCAGAGTCTTATCCCAACACAAAGATCTACGAATATTATATCTTCATCCGGCCCCAACTCCGCAAATCCCAATGCCTCAACAACCCACGGCGCAACGATAACCTGTCTACCATCAACACCTAACTATATCAAACACACAATAGCTTGGGACAGCTCACTAGGACCCGTCAATTGTGTCGCTTGCCTTGATACCCAGCAAGAGTGTTACCACATCGGCAAGTACTTTCATGTCAAGATGGATGATTAAGGGATGAGTCTGCTTTCATGCCCAACCCTAACAAGATATATTACACGAGGACCAGTATGCCTCACGTCTTCGAAGTCTCCATGGCAGGACTCTTGACAACCAGGTGCTGAAGACGTTCCTGTCGAAGCGGGCTGCGAATGAGGAGGCTTGGAAGACACTAGACTTGCGGAAAGCGAACAAGGCGACAGGAGAGACGACTAGGAACTCGTTACTTGAAGGACTGTTTGTGGACCAGGCGTGCAATTGTGCAATGCCAGACGGTGAATTTCGACGATGGGCGGTCCGTGGGGGGACGGAATAATTAGCTAGTTGATGGTGGGGTCGCACGCGACCTTGATTTACCCTGGTCCTGGGTGCGATATGCGATAAACTCGACGAGCACGGAGTCGCTTTTGCATGCCCCAGGTAAACTTTCCTTGTGGATTGGCCTCAGGTGTGATCGTCCATGGTCTAGCAGCCTGGAGGCGACTGCCGCGCCAAAACGGTTATCGTCCTTGCTTCTTCCGGCATGGGCGCCGACAGTAGGCGTGTTCAACAGTTCAGCAAGAACATGGGGAGTCTGGTGGAGAGGCGGCTCAACGAAGACGAACATGGCGGAGTCGGCGGGTATCGTGTCGACACATTGCCATGTCCAAAAAAAGAGGCAGGGTTATGGCCTTGGTGGTGCAGTGCGCGTAACTTGTTCGAGAAGCGAAGAGGGCGCTTTGCTGAGGTGGGGATGAAGCCAGACGCCAACCGATAACGCTTGTCCCGCACATGCACGGTCGCGATGACGCTTGTGAACAATGCCATGGGCCATGGCCAGAGTTCCTGCATTGCGGCTGCCCAGGTGCGGAAGCTACCACGCAGCCATGTGCGCCTAGGTCCAAATCTTTTTCCCGTGCCAGCTCTGTCGTCCTTTGCCATCCACTTTGAGCGCGTCCACCAACTTTGTCTGCATCCTCAGCTGCATTTCTCTTCTTACACTGTCATTCTAGCTAGTCTGATTACTGCATTGCCCGTTGACCTGCACCTGCACCTGCACCTGCATATCCTGCCCTGCCCTGCCATTCCACACCGCTTGCATCCTGCAGCACGCGTTGGTTGCTTATTAGAAGCTTGCCTCGGAAACTCGACCAACCTACACATCCACCATGGTTCTCATTGAGAATCAAGAGTACCTCTGCGAAGAGGAGAAGCGCCTCAAAGCGGACCGCGAGCGCACCGCCTACTGGAAGCGATGGGGTCCCTATGTTGCCGAGAGGCAATGGTCCACAGGTCAGCGCTCGTCCCTTCTTCTGCAGCTGCGGCTTAAACTAACTCATTGGCAGTGCGCGAGGACTATTCGTACGTGACCACCTTGACCGACTGACTGCGCATCTTGCTAACAAGCTCTCTCAGCGCTGACGGAGATGCCTGGAGCCGTACGTACCCTTGGACAGTGCCATTGAGCTTCACTGACCAGCCTGCAGACTTTACGCACGACATGGCACGCTCTCGCGCCTACCGTTGGGGTGAAGACGGCATCGCGGGTGTTTGCGACTCGCACGGTCTGCAGAACATTGCCTTTTCCTTCTGGAACGAGAAAGAGTACGTGCATGACGCTGCTGGCTGCCTGTGATATCTAACATGGGCCCAGCGACTTCCTCAAAGAGCGACTGTTCGGTCTTTCGAATCCACAGGGCAACCACGGCGAGTCGCTGAAGGAAGCTCATTTCCACCTGGACAACACGCCTACTGCAAGTTGCCCTGCTTTCCCTTCACTTTCCATGCTGATTGTGTTTTACAGCACTCGTACATGAAGTTCCTCTACAAGCTCCCCCAGCGCGCTTTCCCATACGAAGACCTCATCAAGACGAACGCGGAGCGAACACGGCTTGACAAGGAGTACAACATCGTCGACACGGGTTGCTTCGACGACGACAGATATTGGGATATATTCATCGAGACCGCAAAAGAGGCCGATGACCCCGACGAGCTCTTGTTCCGTGTCACGGCATACAACCGTGGACCCGAACCAGCCCCATTGCACATTGTCCCACATGTCTGGTTCCGCAATACCTGGGCCTGGGGGCACGAGGACGAAAAGAAGAAGCCGTCAATCCGCAAGATCGGAGATACGACAGCCCAGTCCAAACACTACAAGCTCGGTGACCGCTTCTTTCAGCTTTCGCCATCGCCTGGTACCGGCTCGAGTGGCAACGACGTGCAGCCGGATCTCCTCTTCACCGACAATGACACCAACTACAAGGAAATTTGGGGCGTGGAGAACAAGACTCCATTCGTCAAGGACGGAATCCACAAGCGCATTGTGGATGACGACAAGGACGCTGTCAATCCCGCCAACGTGGGCACCAAGTGCGCAGCCTGGTACGCGTTCGATGAGGATGAAGGCGTGCCACCAGGCGAGTGCGCCGTCGTGCGGTTTAGGCTCTCTCGGAGAAACGATGGGTACCTCGATGAAGAGCTCTTCGATGACATTGTCGAGCAGCGCCGCGCCGAAGCGGATGAGTTCTACTACCGAATCAGCCCACTTCCTATGGCTGATGACCTGAGGAACATCCAGCGCCAGGCATTCTCTGGAATGATGTGGTGTAAACAATACTACCACTTCATCTGGGACCAGTGGGCAAACGGAGACCCCGGCATGCCTCCTCCACCACCAAATCGAAAGGCCATTCGCAACAAAGAGTGGAAACACATGTACCTGGATGACATTCTATCCATGCCCGATTCATGGGAGTACCCTTTCTTCGCTGCGTGGGACAGCGCTTTTCATTGCATTCCCCTGGCCATGATCGATCCCGAATTTGCCAAGAAGCAACTTGATCTCTTCACCCGCGAGTGGTACATGCACCCCAATGGCCAGTTGCCCGCTTACGAGTGGAACTTTGGCGACGTCAATCCCCCAGTGCACGCATGGTCACTGTTCAGGGTGTTCAAGATCGAGCGCAAGATGTACGGCCGTGAGGATTTTGACTGCCTCGAGCGCGTGTTTCAGAAGCTGTTGCTAAACTTCACGTGGTGGGTGAACCGGAAGGATACTGACGGCAAGAACATCTTCGAAGGTGGTTTCTTGGGTCTCGACAACATTGGTATTTTCAATCGATCAGATCCCCTGCCCACCGGAGGAGTTCTCGAGCAAGCAGACAGCACCGGCTGGATGGGCTTCTACTGCCTCAACATGCTGAACATCTGTCTTGAGCTTGCCAAGCGCCGCCGAATCTACGAAGACATGGCTTCCAAATTCTTTGAGCATTTCATCATGATCAGCGACGCGATGCAGTACCGTACTGGCGGCGAGTCGAAGCCTCTCTGGAACGAGGAAGACGGCTTCTATTACGATGCAATTTCCTGGGGCGGTCCATGGAGTCACCAAATGCCCGTGCGATCTCTGGTCGGTCTTATACCGCTTTATTCGACGTTGACACTTGAACCAGAGGTCATCAACAAACTCCCTAATTTCAAGAAGCGGTTGAACTGGTTTATAAACAACCGCAAGGACACGGCTGAGCGCAACATTGCTTCGATGAAGAAGCGCGGACAAGGCGACCGTCTGCTGCTGTCCCTGGTTAGCGAGGACCGCCTGAAGCGTATTATGCAAAGGATGTTGGACGAGAACGAGTTTCTTGCGGAGCACGGTATTCGATCACTATCAAAGTACCACAAGGATCACCCGTACTCCATGGACGTAAATGGCCAGAAGTACGAAGTCGCGTATCTGCCTGGTGACTCCGACAGCGGCCTCTTTGGCGGCAACAGCAATTGGCGCGGTCCCATCTGGCTGGCCGTCAACTTCCTCCTGATCGAGTCCTGCCAGAGATTTCATCTCTACTACGGCAACGAGCTCAAGGTAGAATGTCCTGTGGGATCAGGCGATTTCATGCATCTCGGCCATGTTGCCGAGGAATTGCAGCATCGCCTTCAGCACTTGTTTGCTCGGGGTGATGACGGTAGAAGAGCCATCAACGATGGTAACGAGATGCTCGACTTCGATCCAAACTGGAAGGACTACATGTGGTACCACGAGTTCTTCGATGGTGACACTGGACGCGGGTTGGGAGCAACACATCAGTGCGGCTGGACGGGTCTGATTGCGAAGATGATCCACGACACCGGGTGAGTGTCATCAAATGCCAACATGCCTTACTCTGCTAACAGCCAATAGTATGACCTGTCGTCTACCTCAGACACCGCGCACGCCCACAGGCGCGGCAGCACACTACTTCGACGACGTCTTCACGACGGATAGCAAGCCCAAAAAGCGACACCACCTCCGCCGATCTTCCACTAGCCGTAGTATCGGTTTTAGAAGTGATTGGGGAGAATCGACCAATGGCGAAGATGAAGAGTCAACCTCAGGCCCCGCGAACCGAAGAGGCTCCGTGGGTTACCTAGACGAGGACGCCGTTCAGCAGAAGAATGCGATGCAGGAGCGTCTGAACCACTACGTGAGTGGTCAACTTGAGCGAGTCAAGACAGGTCTTGCCGACGTTGAGACGGATGAGTTTGAAACCACATTGGACGGCTCATCGGACCGGAGAACGAATGGACAGAGACGTCGCGACCGCAACGACTACTTTGAGCAGGACCCCTACTTCAGCAAATGAGCAAGGCTGGCAATATGAGCGCAATGGAAGTGACGGCCAGTCGTGACCTGGAGGCCATTGCAGATGGTTTCTGTGGCACATGTTGTCCAGCATAGCACCCTACATACCTCGACCTAGACCTAGACCTGGAATAGAATAGAATAGAATCAAGATGATGGCAACTTTTCTCAAAACAAACTGCTTCCGACGCATCCTCCTCTCTGTGTCATCAATATGTGGTGAGTGCATGCTGTTTCAGGATGACGTCGCGCACTTCACACGCTAGCGCAGGTGCGGGAGCGGCGGCCGTGCATGCGATTTGTTTGCGGGGCCCAAACACCATCTCTGTGAGCATCGACTCGACAACACCAGGACGTTTCTTCGAATCTCCACTCGTTTCCTTCTTTCCAAGCCAGACAGCCGCCCCCGGTAATCGCAGGGTTGTTTCATCGTTGCGTACGTTCCCCGCATTCCCCTACCCCAACATTGCCCTGCTAACCATTGGAATGCACCACAGATAGCGAATACATCACGACCAACAGATAAGGCCGCATACAGGCTATCGACAAACCATGTCAGGCTTCATAACCACAATGTTCGTCTCTCCCTCTGCTGAGCACCATATTGCGTTTCCCACAAAGCCCAAGCCCCTCCTCCCCATCTTCACATTCGCCCAGAGCCAGAGCTGCATGAACCTAAGGATGGACTTGGATGTGTTGGACTTTCAAGGTTGTGGAAGGAGTGGATTCGACTGCTCGAGGAGCGAACTAGACCTCGCGCGCCCCAAGGACGCGTATCAAAGCCCGCTGCAGAGGATCGGCCAGGCGCTGCGGGTACAGCAACAGACGAGCTCGAATGCGATAACGACTGCGCCATCCACCACAACTCAGCAGGAACCTGTGCCACTGCCCGAATCGCAAAGTCCCGCGCGCCCCACTACGAACTTCTTCCACAAGCTCCGCTTCGACGCTAGCGCACCCACATCTGAGATCAAGACAGGAAACAATGCAGTTCTGGGCGCTGAGAGAGACTCGACCGACACGGGCAGCATGGTTGGGTCTATGACGAAGGCTCAGCAGCAAACACCGCAGAACAGAGGCTACTTTCCGGGCACAAGCTTACTTTCTTTCTTTAGCAATCCACGGACGCGCGCACCTTTCAAGCCGCAAAAGTCGAATCGCGGCACAAGCAGCTGGCAGTTGAAGCAGTATGCCGAGGCCACACTGGGCAGTGGCAGCTTAAGGAAGGCTGTCAAGCTACCAGAGGGCGAAGACAAGGACGAATGGCTGGCTGTCAACGGTGAGATCAACTACAGCAGAAGCTCGAGGCATGGCTGACAAAAATGCCAGTCGTCGACTTCTACAACCAGATCAACCTACTCTATGGCTCCATCACCGAGTTCTGCTCGCCCCAGAGCTGTCCTGAGATGAAAGCCACCGACGAGTAAGCCCACGGACATCCACTTTCAATCTTCGAGACCTGACAACCGCCAGATTCGAGTACCTCTGGCAGGACTCAGAGACTTACAAAAAGCCCACCAAGATGCCTGCCCCACAATACATCGCAGCACCTTATGGCATGGGTCCAGTCCAACGTCGACAACGAATCCATGTTCCCCTCGCGCATCGGCGTCCCCTTCCCCAAGACCTTCCCCGCATTGATTCGGAACATGTTCAAGCGTCTATACCGAGTCTATGCTCACATCTACTGCCACCATTACCCGGTCGTCATCGAGCTTGGTTTGGAGCCGCATCTCAACACGAGCTTCAAGCACTACGTCCTATTCATCGACGAGCATGGCTTAGCAAACGGGAGCAAGGACTTCTGGGGGCCCTTGGGCGACTTGGTCGAGAGTATGTTGAGGAGCGACTAGGTGACAGAGATTGTCATAGCAAGTCAACACGTGGACGGGTTGGAAGTTTTGGAAACAGCATATTCCACGGCGTTTAGAGGATAATAATGAGTAGGAAGGTCTACACTAGCTAGGAGTAGATAGATGTTAACGAACATCTGCTTCTTCTCTAGGAAGTAACGAATATATAGTAGTAATAAAGAATAAATAGATATATTAAAGAATGTTTAAAGATTATAATTGCTATAATTTATACTCTTATCTTAAGTAAGATAAAGTATACTTAGTTTTAAGAACTAACTATAAGAGCTATAATAAGCTAGTCTTAGTAGCTTACTCCTTTAAGTTAAAAAGAATAAAAACCTAAGTATTATTATCTTTAAAAAACACTAATAAACTAAAGCTAAGTCTTATAGTATCTAGTATCTATCTTTAGATCTTATTAGTAAATATTAATATAGTTTATAAGTAAGCAAGCACTCTAAGCAAGTAAGCATCTTTTTTCTAAAATTACTTTTTTCTCTATACCTTCATAAGTCTTAGAGTTTTGAAAGATCTTTTTTAAAATAGAAAAAGCTCTATATTAGAGCTTTTGTATGCATAACAAATGGCCTTTCTAGGCCTAGTAACGCTAAAGTTATAGCCTAGTAAAGTAGAGAAGTTTACTTAGCCTTTAAACTCTAGTAATATACAGTACAGAGCTATATATTATTCTGAAATCTTCTAAATAGATTAACGTAGTTATAAATATATATTATATAAAGTTTTAGAATTTTCTATATGCTAGTTCTAGAGATATAAAGCTAGATATTTCTTTAAGCTTAAAAAGAAGATTTTATTTAATAACTAAGCTAAAATAGATTATTTTAAGCTATAACTTCTATAATATAGAGCTAATATATATAGATAATATATACTAAAGTTTTAGATTATAAGATTAAGTATAGAAGAAGTTATTAATCTATTTTAAAATAGAGTAAAATATTAAGAATTAATATATATAGAAGAAAATAGTCTAAAAAGCTAGATTATTACTAAAAGATAGAAAGAAGATATAAAAAAGTTTTAGAAGTTAAGATACAACGTGTTTTATAACTAAGCAGACTACTTAACTAAGTAGACTAGAAAACTCTACTAAAATGCCTACGTAGTAATAACGCGTAATATCTTAATAACGCAATATATAAAAATTCTATACTAAAGAAAATTTATTTCTTACTATATCTAATTTTAATTCTAGTTAACTATAAACTAAAAGATATACTATAGTAGTATATAATATGCTAAAATTAATAATATATTACTAATACGCTAGCTAATACTCTTAATATAACTATAAGCTAAATATAAAGCGCCTAATAAAATTAGAAGAGAAGATAATTATAGAGTATATACTTAAGTATTCTATATATAGTCTACTTATCTTAAAAGCTAATTATTATAAGAGGTAATAAGTAGAAACGTTAGAGCTTATAAGAAAGCTTAATTAGTATACTACGTATAGGTTTTAGGTATAATATAAGACGTTATATGCAGAATAGAGCAAGGTATAAAGATAGAAAGAAATATAAATAGAGAAAGACTTAAGTATAAACGCTAAGCCTACGCAGAGATAGTTAAGAGGTATATTAGTAGTTTAGCAGTTACTAGCAATTAGAGCCTTTTATAGAGCAGAATTATAGAGTACTATAGAGTATAGTAGCTACCTATATAGTGTAGTACTATTAAGTATAGTAGTCTAGAGTGTTAGAGTATATTATTATAATAGTACCTCTCTTCTATACTTAAGCTTCTATAAGCATTATTGCACTTATATTTATTATAGTTTATACTATAATCTTAGAGAGTTCTAGTATATCTAAGAACTTTATATAAAATTTAGCAACAGCTATAACGTCTTTTAAGTCTATAGCTAGTTTCTATATAGTCTTATTATAGCCTTATTAGATAATAAGATATTTATATTATTTACTTTTCTTATTATAGCAGAGTTTCTTAATACTTCTAATAATATATTCTTTCTTACTATCTATAATAACAGAAGCAGAGGCAGAGATAAGTTAGCTAAGTAGATATTCTAATTCTTCTACTACTAAGCAGAGAAGTAATATATAGAAAGTAGAATATATCTTTATAGATAGAGGCAGTTCTAGCCTATATGCGTAGAAAAAGACTTTCTTAGTAATCTTATAAGATCTAAGGTTTTTCTAGTTAAGTTTCTTTAAAGCTTATTATATTTATATATTATGTGCGTTAAGCTAGACTTTATTATCTACATTATATGCTAGTGCTAGCAAGCGCTTATAGTTTATATATTTCTATTAGAGAGCCTATACTTAAATTATTTCTTCTTAAATATATTTAGTAACTTCTTAGAGCTTATTAATTAGTTAGTTAGTCTCTCCTAGCTTATAAAGCTTAGAATAGAAGTCTTTTTATATTTATAGAAAGCTTAAAGCCTATATATAGATTCTAGCTAAAGTAGGCTATTATTAAGAATACTCTAGTAGATTCTAAGACTATATTATTAGCTTTAAACTATATAATTAAGAGTTAGCATACCTAGTTATTCTGCTAGTAGTTTATATAAGTATAGAGAATCTATTCTATTATAGAATTCGCGTTCTTAGTTTATCTATTAGTCTTAGAGTAAAAACTTATAGAGAAGTAAGAGTTAATACTAAGCTATTTGCATAGCTTATTATAGAAAGTAGAGATAAACTATCTATCTCTATTAGAGACAATAGTATTAGAGAGACTATAGTTATACTAAATATATTATAAGAATATATTAGCTACGTTAGTAGCTTCTATATTCTTATAAGAGATTATATACTAAAACTTACTGTAGTTAGTTAATTACTACTATAACGTTAGTATATTCTTTAGATTTAAGTAAGTTAATAATAAAGTTAATAGAGATATCTTACTATCTACGTTCTAGTATAAGCAGAGGCTTTAGAAGACTATAATACTTCTTGTAGAAAGCTTTTTGCATAGTAATAAGTATAATAGTATAAAATATATTAACGTATATTATAGGTTAGCAGACTATATAGGTTAGCAGACTATATAGGTTAGCAGACTACTTTTGCTAAGCTTCTACTAAGAACTACTCTATCTACATAATGCCTTAATAATAGCACTAGATAGATGCTTCTAATAAACGTAAGATATAAACTACTCTTTAAGCTCTTAAATAAGACGTAATACTCTTCTTATAATACGCTATAGCTATCTATAATATCTCTTAAATAACACTACGCAGTTAATGCGCTAGATAGCCTTTATAGGTAGATTGCTAGCCTAAATTAACAAATCTAACTCTAACTAAGAAGGACGTAGTTATTAAGTATATACTTAAGCTAGTTATACGTAAATTTTCTTCTAAGCTTATAGCTATAGCTAATATAGCTAATTCTCTGCGCGCTAAGCATAGTCTAAGCTAGATTAGCTTAAACTAGCTTAGTATATTTATTAAATGCTGCTCTAAGCTTTAAATAAAGTTTAATTATAAATATAACTATAGAAGAGCTCTCTGCAAGAATTCTAAGGTTATATAAAACTAGTTCTAGCTTATAGAGAATATAAAGGCAAAGTATAGTATCCTTAATAAGAATATATATAACTTTAATAAGTCTAGGTTTATAATAGGCTAGATCTTAACTAGAGCAGTTATTATAGCTTTAGAGCAATAAGAATAGCTAAAGATAGTATAATAGAGTAATTAAGAGTAGATAATAGTTATCTAGAGCGTTAATATAATAGAGTAAGCTATTCTACTCTTTATTATCTTTAAGAGCTACTACTATCTCTTAGCCTAGTATACGTTAGGAAAATCTAAAAATCTGTTAAATATTTATTTCTATTAATACTGTAGAATTAACTATAGGTTGCTAGCAAGTTAATTAATTTAAGAAATTTATATTTATTATTAAATATACTTTAAAATAAAACTTTATTAAAATAGTTAGTACTATTAGAATTATTAGAACTATTAACGTAATAGTCTAGCACGTAACTTTATTATCTTTAACTATTATATTTTCTTTCTTCTTACTTACTCTATCTTTCTACCTATGCTATTAAAGTTTACTTCTTTAATATACTTTTCTTAGTATCTTACTATATATTTACTTCTTTCTATATTATAACTAGATATTATAGATATTACTAGAAAGAGCTTTATTAGAATTATTAGTAATATAAGAATTATTCTATTACTATACTAGTTCTATATTCTATATAGTTATCTACTATTAAGCACTATTAAGCACTATTAAGTACTATTAAGCACTTTTCTTAGCAGTGCGCTAGACCTTAGTAGAATGCTTCTAAACTTATAATAATTAGTTTAGTTTAATACTAGTCTATGCATTAATCTATAACTATTAATTCTCTATCTTATAGTTTATCTTAGAAAGTTATTTTAACGTCTTGCTTACTTAGTACTTTAAGTTTTAGTTTACTATCTAGTATTAAAATAGATAATGCTAATATATATTTCTGCTAACTAGCTAAGTTAGTATACTTAGAATATAAAATTTAATTCTATATATTCTACCTTATCTTATAGCTCTATAATAACGACGTACATAGCTTCTATTAGTATAATTGCCTCTATAAATGCTATTAAAGCTACTATAATCTAAGGCCTATCTAGATCTCTCTATTTAGTAAGCTTAAGGTTAATTTTATGCTATATTATACCTTTCTATATAACTAAGACGCTTTTAGTACTAAACTTCTCTCTTAAGCCTAGCTATATTACTATCTGCATAATTAGTTTATATAACTCTATAAGAATTTTAGCATAGACTTTCTTTAGTAGTAGTAGTATATTAGCTGCTTTTGCTATATCTTCTACTATAATACTCTATATCTAGCTTAGTATTTTTAGAATTTTAACCTTAGAGCATAAATTTAATAAGTTTTAAAACTTTAGACTGCTTTTAGTTATAGCATGCACCTCTTATACTAAAAAATAGTTCTTACTTAGATTAGTAAAGAGATTCTTTACG